ATCTCTTTAGTACAGTTTTTGAAAGTGAGCAGTATATAGATCGTTAACGTGACGCTGAGCTATGCAACTTTTCTGCGTCATTGTTTTTTAGTCATTATTTTTAGCTAATTTAGGAACAGTGCATATATTAAGGCCCATTTACACGATGCCATTTTCTTGTACATACAAGAGCAATAATTGAATGCAATAAATTGCGCGCAATAATTGTTTAGACCATTTGTTGTTTAGACCATGCAACTCATTTATTGCTTCAATTTAATTGTATACAACAGGCAAGAAACTGGCACCATGTAAATGGGCCTTTACACTCGCGTGGCAGACACCATCTTCTGACGCTTTGGAACCATAACATTAATATTTCTCCTTTTACCACCACAGACCTAAAACTCACTAATGTGACAAGTTTACAGTAATCAAATGAAACGAGAGTAACTAAATACAGCCGGCGCGACGTCTGTTGAATTAAAGGAAGTCTAACCAACAACTGGTTGTTAAACTAATGTTGTAACGCAAATAGATCCGTTTCAGATATTAAAGCGAGCTGAATTCGGGCGGATGTCACAATTTCACACAGAGTGAAATTAATACTTCCCTTTAAATTTTTAGCGTTTAGTAGTGAAGTAAAATAAAATATCCTGGGGTCATATTGCCTATTTCAGTGCAGTGAACTTCCTTCTTTCGCAATTTACATTTTTTTTATAATTGCCTCCTTGCAAAGGGCTTGTCTACAAATTTTACAATGTAAGAATAAGAAAAATGTTAGAAATAATAATCTCACGCTAATCTCAGTCATATATAAGTAACCGTGGTAGAACCACGCAACAGCCTCGGCTGTTGCACGAATGGGCAGGCGCGTCCGGGTAAGTGCCACGACCTCACAGAAGACCAGCGTAAAGTGGAAGTATAATACTTTCGCGTTTCCTCTGCTGAGTAAGGTAGCCCCAGAGTCTACGTTTAAAAAAGGTCAAAATGTCAACGCATCCGAAAACCCTCGGGTGTAGCAGATGTCCATGGCCGGCGGTATTCACTTAACATCAGGTGAACTGCCTGCTCGCTTGGCAACTTTTCACATGAAAAAAAAAATAAAATATATAAGTAAACGTCTCAAAGGCAACGGTGTTGAAACCCAGAGTCAAGATCCCAAATCCGACTAATCTAGACCATCGCTGCTATACCTTGCCCACTTGTACTTGTGAATCTAGCACAGGAATCATTAACAGAGCGTTCGTCATTAGCATAACATAAAAGGCCCATTAAGAGCAGATCTTCAGTGGCTCCCAATAGCCGGTTAAAACACTACAAGCGTTTCAAAACATCACAATCCACGACGCGTTGACGGCGGCCATTCTCGTAAATCATATATTTAAACACGACAACACAAATATTAAAAGTCGACAGTAAAAACGCTTGTATTTCCGTATGAATGTTGACGGGTAAGACTAAAAATAAAACGACGCGTTACACGCATAAAATATGAACAAACATATGTCCATTGAAGGTTAACCATCTGCTTCGAGTACAGTCAAATGCGGTAATAGCTTTGGGACGATTTCGAGCTCTATCCACATGGTGTTGACTGTACACACATCGCTTACAATTCACTTAACGCAACACATTAATTGATTCGCAACGATGTCTTGAAACATGCTGTTTAAACTTTTATGTGAAATCACGCAACAACTGTTATACTAAAATCGTAATAAAAAAAATCGCTATGGAAGATTTGTACCCATATTCTTTCGGTGTAAAACGTTGTGGAAATGTATGGAAAATGTTGTGTTGTCTTCACTGAACTACAAACACTGTTAAAGTGTATAAAATTTAAGAGCGAAACTGTCAGTGGGCAACTTTTAGGGAAAAGCTAAGAACAGTAGTCAGCGTAGAGTTGCAACGTTTCTCTTCGCAAAAACTATTTCGTGAACATGAAAATTTGTTTTTTTTTTTTTTTTTAATTTTTTTTACACGTTGCCCTTACTTTAGGATCCTGTGTTGTAAGGACGTCTTACAAACATAAATTTCACGCGGACAAACGCCCACATGCGAAACAACTATTTGTGTGATCCACAAATAGTTGTAGGGGGTCGTGGGTTCGATTCCCGTGACGGAATCGAACCCACGACCCCCGACGCCGAAGCCAATACCTTGGCAACTGCGCCACGGAGTCATCCAGTGTTATGCTTAAGGTGTGCCACACCTTAATACCAGGCTAATAGGCTAAGTGAAGCAGTGGATATGTTGTGTTACTAGGGCCTTCAAGAAAACGACGCGTTTTAATTGCGAATAGCCCGAACTCTCTCTCCTCTAGGACGATCAGGTAATTTTTCTGCCATGCGAAAATTTTCAAGCGAGCAGGCGGTACATGTTAAGTGATTACCGCTGCCCATGGACGTCTAGAACACCCGAGGGCTTGCAGATGCGTTGAGAAACTTTAAAATAAGTAGGCCCCGGTTACCTCACTCATCAGACGAAACGCAAAAGTATTATATCTCTATACGTCTTCTGTGAGGCCATGGTACTTCTCCGGTCGAGCCTACCTGCCCATGCGTGCAATGGCAAAAGCTGTTGCGTGGCCATACGACAATAAAATTAACGAAATTATCCAAAAATAATACTCAAAAACATATTGATTGTAGATAGTGAACCTGTAACTATCTTATTAATTTATTCATTTAAAAACTTTATGCACAATAACGTACTTCGGTGTTCTCTATCAGTCAACCGACAAATAAACAGAGAGAATAAAGAGGTGCGAAAGATCCAGATGAGATAGTGAAAAATATGATGACTTCACTATCTTCAGCACGGGTCGGAAATAGAATATCTATGGAAACCTAACACCACGTTGCCTGCGCAATATTTAAAGAATGCTACGCCTCGTCGAGTCTCGTCTAATCGATTCGTTTGCTAATCGGGATAATAACCGTGACGGATGCGAAAGTGCACGCCATCTCGTCGGAACGGTCGATTGTGGGGTTCACCGCCAAGGTCTCGTCAAGGTCGTGCCATGTTAACGTTTCTACGGCCCTTGTTACGACCCCGTTTCGTGATTCTCTGACGGTCCCGCTCGTGAGTGAATATTACTGTTGGCAAAATTTAATGAAGCGTCTATCGATGAACGAGGAATGAAAAGCAATACAAGGTTAAAAAATAAATAGATAAGATTAGCTGTTAACCGCGGCATCGCCCGCGTGGCCAAAGGTGTTTTATTATACACCAGAATATCTGGCAGATGGCTGAATTTTTTCCTACTTAGTTGACACTTATCATTACCTATATTTTGGACAATTCACACAATATCTTTATAAGTAATAGCCTATGTGTTATTCTGATGTACAAGCTATGTTATTGTAAAGTTTCATTAAAATCTATTCAGTACTTTTTGCGTGAAAGAGTAACAAACATCCATACATACATACAAACTTTCGGGTTTATAATATTAGTAAGGAAGTAAGGATATGAACAATGAGGATCCTAGCTAAAAACTTGAATTCTTATACAAAAAATATAAACATAATCATGATGTTCGTCGTGTATGATTCCAAAATAAAACTTGTAAAGTTGTTGTGCTATTAAGTATAATAAATTACCTATGCTACATATGATAAAGAAGGCTTGATATAAATATAATTAAAAAAGCCCTGATTTGGGCCGAATACGTAATGTCAAAGAGGATTATTACTACTTACTCATACATCTTCTTTATATGTTTTTAGATAAATCTTCTGCAAAGCTTTCAAAATGTCAGACGGAATTTTTACTGAATATTTGCTACGATAACATCAGTAACAAATTGATAAAAATGACATTAATTAATATACAAGTAAAAGTAAGAAATTATCTTAGTAAATTAACCTAAACGAATTCAATCAGTTTAACTTTCTAATTAATGTTTAGAAATATTAAATCCGATTAACGGTGCAGACTTCACTATCCTTGACACATGACAAGTGATGAGTTCGTCGCGTCACTCGATCAGAAAGGTAGGACAGCGAGCTTTACCTGCAGGTTATCCGAAAACAGACAACATACGACACGAGAATTCAACCTAAGAGAGCTAGTTCAATCGTTTCCTGTTGCCTCCATAACGACGGCCGAGCCTAATGCCCAACTTCGGTGCATCGCCGCTCTCAGTTACGAGTATTAATGGGCCACGTACGTGACCGACGGACGAACAGTGCCTCTATATATAGAGCCCTTGTAATGAGTTGTATTTCCTTAGCTCCCTCCCACACACACTGACAAAGATAACGTCGAACCTAAAATTGTGAAATAGAATGTAATCGAATTTTTAAATCCGCTATTTAATAAAATACGCTTGAGCAATGGTTAAAAAAATTGTGTAGTGACAATTGTATAGTGATATAACTCTTGAGATACGGGTGATTTATAGAAGATTTAGGTACATTGGCATATTAAAGAAAATTCAAGTCATAGATACCTAAGCATCGTAACACAGATGCGTGGCTCTACCACATCCATAAAATAAAATTTGATGGATAAAACTACCTATGGTTGTGTTTTACGGGTTTTGCTTTATAGATCACTTGGTAGTCTGACATGATGAACAAATCAAGATTCGTAAAATAAGTTTATTTAGTAATGCTTAGTATTTACGTAAATTTGAGAAATGTTTAAAAATTAATTAATGTTTTAAACATGATGTTTATTCTTGGAATAATCAACTCGTCAAACAACGTGTGAGCCTCGATTAGTTTGTTTTGCACTCTTGAAAGTTTCCGACTTGACAAAATAAGTTTAAAAAGTTGATAAGAACGCTGTGCAACGATTTACTGAATGTTCGCTGGTGTAATAAAATAATGTCAATCAGCTTTGACACAGAATAATGTTTCATCCGGTCGAACGCTCGCTGAACTATCTGGCCGTGTGTCCGACCGCCGACCGCTCATCCTCAGCTCTACGCAGGCACGCAGCGTGAATAACTGACAGTGCTGTGGACGGCCGTTTCTCTGTACGGATCTCCGCGAGCATTACCACTTCAAATGTTGCTTATTGCCTCGAACGATTCAAAGGTTATTCCGCTGAAAGCGACTCCGAACACCAAGCGAGTCCGTGCATCTCAAGTTTGCATTAATTTACGTTTCGCTCAAACTCATCAAAATCTACCGGATAAGACAGAGATAGATAGTGGTATCAATGTTTCGCCGAATGTCTACAGTTCTAAATACGACCGGTGAGAAGCCTATAACCGGACACAGATGACTTCTGCCTGTGGTAGAGCCAGGCAGCTAGCTTTCTATTGCACGAGTCTAATAGCTTGGATAGTGAAGTATCACGAATATATAATATTATAGAATATATTCGGTGTGAGGTAACTAGGGCCCATCTTATTGGTTTTCGCTTCTACAACCCTATAGGTTTTGTAGATTTCTACAGCCCCACAGGTGTTATAGATGTCGTTAGACAGAAAAATTATAGTTAGTTACTTTATCACCACGATTTTATACCTTTGATCCACGACTTTCAATTTGTTTGTAGATTGATTTGCCGAACGATGCGATTACAAGATTAATGCGAATCCGCCAAAAACAATCTTTCCTATTATCAATACACACAATGGTGAATCAGAATTTCCATCTTTGTATCTGTTAGACACAGAATTTCCATCTTCGTATCTCGGGCATTGAATAGTGGCTTAAAATGGCCTAACAATGCCCAACTGCTCAGAAAACATAGTTGGGGCCATATTTCAATACGTAATGTGGAATTTAACAACGAAGCCTTTTCAATTTAAGAGCGATTGTCCTTAATATGAAAAATGGCTAGAAAGGGACAATGCGTTTATCATTAACGTTATATTCTATTCACCTTTACTAACTCGAGTTGTAGCTCAGTGTCCAGATGCCCGCTTACGGTATATTCGAGCATTCTGAGTTCGAATCCTGTGGCCCGTTCCAAATAAATTTCTTATTGCAACTTTAATGCTATTTAAGCACGTATTCAGCGTACATATTCAAACATCGGGGGAAGCTGCACATCTTTGCAACAATATAAAATCCGATTTTAAACCCTCTGCCTAAATGAGATTATATACTACAAACTGAGCTTTTATTTCTTATTTCTACGGCTAATATCCCGTAGAAATAAGAAATAAAAGCTCAGTTGAGTGAGCATGTGGTAAGTGGGCCGCCCATAGACACCATCACCTGATGTGTAGTAGACGTGTTGCCAACCAACCCCGCGAGTAATTCTGCATAGCAAAGGATCAACGTCACTTGTTACGCAAGGATTCTTCAGAAAGTACCTTTTGTTTAGGATCAATGCACGGTCCCGTTGTAATGGTTCTGCAGCGTAATTGAAATTGGATTCCGACGAGCGAAGACGCGGACCGTAGCTAGTGTTTAAACCCGCTGATTGCATAGTTTCCGCTTCCAGGTCGGGTGCCATTTGCATATGCAAGATGTAGCGAGAACGCTAGCGGAAGGGATTGTATAAGACTAGCGTTTACCGTAATGTCTACGCTCAATCAACTCCAATAAATATTAAAGAGTAATTCTTGCTTGGAACAAGCGAATGCAACGCAGTAAAGCATATTATGACATGCAAACCGACATGTATGTATAGAAATAATATTAATAAATAGCTTGACTGAAATAAAATACTTGTTAGGTACTCATTTATTTAAATATATATATTATATTCAGTATATATAATTTTTCTGTACGTGTGTTACAGAACTCCTCCGAAAAGGCTGGACCGATTTTTAATGAATTTTTTTGTGTTTCTTCAAATGTATTCGAGAATTTTTAGTTTTCTTTATTCAAAATTCGAGTTATTCAAAAAAGTTTGAAATTTTCGAATTTAAGACGTGTGACAGGATAAAGTCTGTCGGTTCGCTAGTATAAATAAACAGGGAGATTTTTTGAGAAGTGCCCAAATTTACACAAGAGGCTCAGACTCGGTAGTATAATCGTTAATTGAAATAAATAACAAAGTTTTTTTTTTCTAAAAAAAATACCATTCTATTCCCTAAAAAACAGAACGTGTTGACAATGCTGTAGTCATTCATAAATACCAAAATTTTACTGTGCACGAACTTGTGTGCGTGTTAGTTATGAATGATCGCGCGTAAAATAAATGAGTTGCGTATAAATCGCGCACTTTTTGAGATAAGTTCAAATTTATGTAATAAATTACTTAAGAGTGATTTTAAATATTTATCATTTTTAATATAACATTATTTGTGTCTAGAATTTGATAAAAAAATGGATACACTTAGCCTTTAAATACCTCACGGTAGTCATTACTCTGACGCAAGATCTATCAGAAACCGGACAGTCGTCAACTAGCCTCAATTCCCGACCTAGTCCAATCGACGACCGTAAGTCTAAGCGAGCATTAAGTTCCCAGTTAGCTCCACAAGTAGCTATGAATAGGCATAAGGGGGTCGACATTATCCTAACCGGAGATCGACTGTGTCAACGTTGCATGCAACTGCGCAACATGCAACAGAACTTTTCACTTTAATATGCAATTTGCTTTAACGACCCGTTAGATTATAGACGATAGCAACGTAGGTCGTCCCTGATTCCATTCCCAGGCCGTGTCGAATTCATCAGCTTATCTTTATATTTGTAACTACCGGATCATAATCTTTTTAACCGACTTCAAAAAAGAAGGAGGTTTCTCAATTCGACTGTATATGTTTTTATTTTTTTTATGTGTGTTCGCGGATAACTTCGTCGTTTATGAACCGATTTTGATGATTATTTTTTGTTGGAAAGGGGATATCCCAAGGATGGTAAGGAACCCGGATCTGATGATGGCTTCCTGGAGAAATCAAGGGCAATCCTCAAATGTTATAGTTATCCGGATAGGCGGCTAACCGGCCGCATGCCTGACTTCAGCCCTCCTTGGGACAAACAACCAGACTCGGAACAATAATCTGTGTGAGAATCGAATTCGGATCCTCGGCGCCTAAGGCAATATAGCTTGACATCGTCCGTCGAGACGTCGTACAGTAAGTAATATACGACATAAAAGTTTCCATTCCAATAAATTTAAACAAAAGTAATTTTGTAAATACTCAAGAACAAAAATCTAAATTAAGTGCTGATTGTGCTTACTTGTTATAAATAATGTACTCAATTCAATGCACGAACACGTGCAGACAAAGAAAAATCAAACCGCTTTTTCGCTCAGTCTGCTGAAGATCAATGGTTCGCGCCTCGAAAGCGAGAGCGTAGAGAATGAGCAAACCTAATAAAGCGTTGACAAACAAACTCCATTCACAAAGGGTGAATCGAGATCGTGCGGCGCAGGTATCGCCTCGCGGGTTAATTTAAATTTCATAAAGCCCAGTATTTGAACGCGTCAATGTCGACACTCGACGGTGCGGTAAGGGTGACATAATGGTACTCGACGGCCATATTGAAACTCAACCGCGCGCCAAAAATTGAATATTTTCCCGCGTTTTTCGCTTCGGCGCGCTACACAGGCACATTATGGACGCATCAAACAATCGCATTGCGGTATCGACCGGTGAAGTCATGGTGGACGTAGTTTTACCATGCATACTAACATGTTTTTTTCTTATTTTAATACATTATTAGTGTTTGCAAACTTGTTCTATACTTCTTTTTGTTTGTATCTTTAAACAATCATTATACGTTAGTTTGTATGGAACATAACCATGACGAAGTCTGGCTAGGGCGAGAGTAGCAAAAAAAATAGCTTTATTACATAATATATAAATGTAATAAAGGAAACGGTTTAACATTACATTTAAATGTTTTTCGGAAGTAATATTTATAATATCAAAGTTAAAATAATTATTGATTTACATGCATACTTTGTTAACCTTCTTAATTTGATTGTCATTCGTAACATGGAGGATACTTTCGAAGTTATGGCATTGTAATTGCAAAACTCATCAATGGGGAAGTAATAGAATCGTAAAGTCTTTTACTACGCGCCCCCCTGTACGCATGCACGAGGAATGTTTAAGTAAAACCCGCGGTTAAATTTGCGATTGTACTTTGCGACGGACGGTCGTAAAGTTGAAGCGATTATTTATTTATTTATAAACTTTTTACACATGCAACGTACAATGGCGGACTTAACACCATTAGGTGTTCTTTACCAGTCAACCGACAAATAAGTAGAGAGAACAAGAGTTGCGAAAGAGCCACATGAGAAGTAGTGAAAAACATGAATTTATATAAAATATGACATATATTAATATTTATATAAATGGTATATATACAGTACATATTTTTATATATATACAGCGATCTTTGACGGATCGATTTGGCTAACGAGTAATCCCAGCTGAGTAATTGGCTTGTTCATTTAAGTAATTGTTAATAAATTATAATTCGTTCGTTCCTTTAAAAGGCTTTACAGACCCACCGGGTTTGACATGACCGGGCACTGGGGTCGCTTAGTCTGAATCTCATTTATGAGGGACTAAACTCGAGGGCTTCCGAGGAATCCTGGCCTCTCGCCGTCACTCTATTAATATTATATTCACACTTGGGTCTTTTTGTTGGTTCCAAAGCTAGTTTGGTTCCACATGTCGGCACCGATGCTGGCTGAACGCAACCACGTAAATAGAGAAAATAGATTTGCTCAGAACACTCCAAAGCTGTGTGTCGACAGGGTATTTTTTACATATTAGTGTTTTACATAGCCTCGTTGGATACACTTGATGTTTAACACACATTGTGCCTGAGGAGTCAGAATTGTGCTTAATGATTTCATTGATACGAAAAAGATATATTTTTTCTATTTCTGAAAGGAAGGCAAAGGAGCAAGTGGGTCGCCGGTCACACCGCAGGAGTCGAAAATTATATTATAACTCTCTATGAAATGCTGCTTTTGTAAATAATAATTTATATATATATTTATTGCATATTATATATTTATTTATGTTTATGTATGTTTTTTATAATTTATTTTATTATTATTAAGTAAGTTTATTAAGCACACCACCTCCCACTATTCATAAGTTTATTTTCCTTGTCCTAAGGTTGTCTGGAAGAGATCGCTCTTTAGCGATAAGACCGCCTTATTGTACCTAGCTTTTAAGATTTATTTTATATGAACTGTATTAAACTTTTTGTGGTGTACAATAAAGTATATATAATAATAATAATGATAATAAAACGCCTTGAGTTATCACAAAGGCTAAATTTGCATGGCTCTACGGCACATTTGAGAAAGCAGCGCGACTTTCCAGAAGACCGGCATGAAGTGGAATCTTTTTATCTGATGAACAAGTTTGTCGAGTTCAGCACCTATAAAGTTAGCGACGTCGACGTAGCTGCAACTGTACAGGTATTGCAGATGGATAGGAGGCGAAAATTATAAGTAAAGTAACATTTTATATGTGTCTATCATACTACTAGGCAAAGGTTTCCCCTGTGCTTTTGGAGGGTTTTAGGGAAAACACCACGGGACGCCACTGCGGATAGAGACTTAATGTCTTTTGAAAATAAAAACAGGTTTTCTTACGACCTTTTCCTCCATCGCTGAGCACATGTAAAAGACAACATTAACATAAGGAGAATCGCTTACTCGCTTGCTACCTTTACGATTGAACCTGACCAAACGGTTCTTCGATATGGCCGAACATCATCCCAACCCTCTGGTGGTAAGCGCAGCAAATTACCAACTCGACACAAACGCGAACGTCAACAAGCGTCGCCCGCGAAACATCCTCATCGACCCGGTCGAGGAAGGGGACTTAGATACGTCGGACCCACCGCCGGGGGTCGCGCCGGATAACACTACACCCACAGTTAGTGCAACAACAAACACACTAGTAGCTACCGAGTAGCTAATTGCACAGTCGACGGCCATCAGGGTTTCGGTCCGAACCGCGACCTCGATGGCCCTTAGATGACACACCATAGTTAAACGCACGCATGAGCACATACGTGGCCCTACCCACAGCGGAGGGCCCAAACCCGTGGGTTCTGGCTAGCCCACCGGTTCTGCGTCAGATGAAGCTTTAATAGTCTCGGGACTGAAAGCAAAAACATCAGTTAATACAAGATACAAGATACTTTACGATTGAAAATGTAACTGTCTATAGTTAAATAAAGAACCAAGAATAACATAAAGAATGTTCACCGCCAAATAATGAGTTATAAACAAAAACATGTAATCGTTGCTAATTTCTCAAGTCGTCCTATCAGCATTTCCATTTGTAATCTGAAACTAAATTATAACGACCTCTTCGCCGAAACGACGTCAATCCTAAGGTTAACTAATGACCTCCGCGCGAAACACGATAAGAGCGGCAAGACTTCGATACGGATGCGGATAAAACAAAAGCGCCCGGCCGTGTTCAAAGGGGCCCCTTAAAATAAACAGTCATTAGGGACCCGGCAAAAAATCATTGCCAAATGTACCGAGACGGGAGCGCCGCGTGTGCTGAGGGATTGGCGTGCCAACGACAAACCCGGCGACAGATTACTGACCCTGTTTTTTATCACCCAACACCCCCCGCCCAGTAGGGCTGGTCTTCTTCGCCGTTGCCACAAGGAACTTCCCTTGAACTGCGTCGTCAGCCTCAATTTTGAAACGTATCTATATTGAAATAGAGTGTCAACTGCCGTGCACTATTTCTCAAAGGGAACACTGTTAGCAATTCCCAACGATATCCGAGGTATTCAGGAATTTCCGCTTGGCGCCGCTGACCCGTCGCTATTTTATCAATCTTCTTTCAAACGTTTTATAAAGTTTCATTCGTAAAATAAAAAAATAGATAAAGTCTATAGTTACCAACTTCTACGTCACCGTACCGTTGTCGTATTCGTTATTAATATTACCTGAGGAAACAAAGAAATTTTCATTAGTTAATATGTATACATAGATTCTATGGTAGGGCCACGCAACAGTATTCGGTGTACAATTTTGCGATTAATAATATTAATTTGCAATTAATTGCGGTGGAATTCGAACCCATGGTCTTTCGGATGGATACTTATACCACTTGGCACACAGTCTATGATAGTACTAAACAGGCATAATTCTAATACACAGAAATTAAATGAAATTAAATGAAAAGAAATTTCAAGTGTGGGCGAATGAATACAAAGTGAGATATTTGCAGTCGGTTATGTTTTCCGTTAAAAAAAAATGTTCGTGTAGCACGTTTTAAAAATAAGACTTTTCTGATATACACCACGCTCGGAAGTTGTTAAGATATGTGACGCGTCTCATTCACACCGATCAGAAATAATGGTCGCCCATGCGGCGAGCAGGACGCCGATCATTACGGACTTACGGCCGCTCGTTACGGACTTACGGCCGATCGTTACGGACTTACGGCATATCGTTACGGACTCGCGATAATAGCTCACAGCCGACGGAGACCGCCCACAAGGGTTAAGACGGATACCGCTAGCGAGAGTCCTATGTAAATGATTAGTGCTGGGGTCAAATGAAAATTAACCCATGCCAACAACTGTACCTAAACACTCACACCAATCGAACTCCTTAATCTAATTCATTCGCTTTATACACGATTTGTTTATTCATTCATTCATTCATACGCTTTTTTCATACGATTGCGTATACAACAATATTGGTTACAAGCTTTTTACCCTCCTTTTTAGGACGTATTTACAAGTGATTTATCCTGTATATGTTGCAATTTCATGGGCATTCATGACGTCTTCATTCAACTTTGTTCTTGTCACGAACATAGCGATCGTCTCTTGACACACTTGCAAAAAAGACCACAAGTATTAACATGTACATATTAAATCTTTGACCGGCGAAATATCGACATCATATACTAACTGTCCAACTGAGCGTTAGGCTGAATACGAAGGGAAAAAACCTCTATAAAGTTAATCTCTACTATTTGCTACCCACTCTGCGCTCGAAGTAGCATGAAACACTGAAGCTACGGGCCCAATCACAGATCC